TATAACCGAGATTATGTCTAGTAGGGTAATTTTAAACGTATATTAAAAAAGTACATTTATGAACTTGCATTGTTAGTTAGTAGTAGAGACTAGCTTTCATTTTAAACATTGATTATTGGTTTATCATTTATGTTTGGGTTCTTTACTTTTCTTAGAAAAATAGTCTACTTTATCTTTTAGAGGTTGTTTTAGTTTAATTCTCTCTATAGATTCCAATAATTGTTAAGTAGTTAGTGAATTATTTAGTGAATTATGAAAAAATATTATTTTGTAGTAAGTCAAAAAGAAATGGTCGAAAGTTGTTCCGACAGAACTTCCCTCGCATTTTCAAGTTGAGTTTTTACTTTACACAACATTTTTGTAAGAAAATAGAGAGCGGGTGGGCATAGCTAGTATTTGTTAAAATAAGATTGATTTTGGTAAATGACTGAACAATATTAAGAGTAATCACTGGAATGAAGAGAGGGTGGGTGGGCGGGGCTATTGATTATTTATGAAAGATTCGTTAGGAAAAAGTTAATCATAGCCCCGCCCACCCACCCGTTGTCTCATTTTTTCTTCAGAAATAAGAAATAAATGTTATAGCACAGAAGTAGTATAACAAAAAAAATACCATTAACGCCTTTTTTTAACAACTAACGTTCTGTTAGTTCCCATTCTTACTTTACAAAAGAAAATATATTTCATTCGGCCCACCCACCTTTAAAACCCATTTACTATGTACAATTTTGAAATGACGTCATTACATTATTGGTGGGGATGATTAGATAAATTTTGTTTGGCGCATCTACATGATATTCCTAATATAAATACAAAATTTGAAAACAATCGGCCCAGAACTTTTGGAAATTATCTGTCTAATAAAAATCGGGAGGCCAGACAGACAGACAGACAGACGGACGGAAACGGGAGACCTATTTCTTCGAACTCTAGGGTTCATGATAGGTCGAGAAAATGCAAAAGTAGAGAGTCGGCCGACAGATTACAGTACTTACTTGGCTTACGCTAGGGAATTAAAAATTATTTTAAGACAATTAGTTTGTTAGTCTACTCATACATGGAGTATACCAAGAATCTGATAGTGAAAGATTACACATGCATTATGGATTATTGAAAAAATTGGTCTAAGATTGTTAAGATAAAAGTTTCCTCGCCCTTGAAGTGCACCTCACCAAATCTCGCTTCTTTTAAAAATTTGATTTTGCAATTTTTATAAATAAGTATCTGGATGTCCTGAGTAAAAACTCAACACGGATTCTTAAGTCACGATTGCAAGAGCAAATTATGCATTTTATGAAATTAAATAAGAGTTATTTTGATAAACGATTTACCATGCTTCAGATAACTTTAAAATGTTTCCAAGATTTTAGAGTATTCGGTTTTGCAATTTCAAATTTAAATTATTAAAAATTAGTTGAAATCTGTTTCGGCAGAACTTCCCTAGCACCTAAACTACAGTGAAACATATCCAGCATTTTTGAGTTGAGTTTTTACTTTACAGAATTTTGTGATGACGTCATCAATATTTTTGCACGGATACCTTGGATTGGTGCACTATAATAGTAAAAATAACAGATTGTATTCCCAAAATTTTCTGGGAAAATGGAGTGAGCCGTTCCTGATTTAATCAATAAAATAAATTGACACATTCATTAATTGTTTTGAGCCACCTGTATAAGCAAATCTAAAAAATATGAATGCAATGATAAATCACAAGTAAAAGTCATCATGAAGTAGTTTAAAAGAATCTCAATCATTCTACGAGTTTAATTTTTGAAGTAGTTTGACGCAATTTCGGAGTCCCGTGATTACTGAACCAGCACTGAAAAAATATATTTATTTCGGAACCAGCGTTTCCCGATTTCTAGATGGTCCCATCCGCCGCTGTCAGGACTACTAGTTGCCAAGATAAGACTGAACAATATTAACAGTATTCACTATAATAAGAATAAGAAGAGGGGGTGGGTGGGCGGGGCTACTGCTTGCTTATAAAATTCTTTGGGAAAAAGTAAACTCAGCTCTGCCCACCTTTTTTCCTCTATTTCATTGTCTATTTACTATAAAATGGGGTTTGAATTCTACATATTTTGATAAGCGGTAGAATCTAAGATATAAACAAATTAAAAAGTGGTCCCGCCCACCCACCCACTTCTATTCTGTTTTGATAATTCATTTTTATTAGGTTTGAAGAAGGGAAGATGGATTTTATATTAATAAATAATAGAATCTAGCATTACATTTTTTTAAATAAAATTTAATTTTAGAGGTTTTTTTTCAATTTTTGTAGTGTTTATTTTAAAGGTGTAATAATAATAATAATGAATTATATTATTTTAAAAATATTTCACTTTTTGAATTTTACGATTTTAGAATGTTTCCATTTTTCAAATATTATTGGATTATAAAACTTTTTCGTTTAATAACTTTTCAGTTTTTGATTCATTTTTTCATTTCTTCAAATTTTCGATTTGCAATTTTTTCTTTTGGATTTTTATTTCTTTTATTTTTACAGTTTTTGCATTTTTCAATGTTGCGATTTTATAACTTTTTATTCTTTCATTTTCATTCGTTTCAATTTTTTAATTTGCAATTGTTCAGTTTTTTATTTTTGTTTCTCTAATTTTACGAAATGTAACTGTTCGAGTTTTCAATTTTCAGTTTTTCAGCTTTCCAATTTTTTAGTTTTTCGTTTCTGCAATTTTTAGATTTGTAAATTTTCATTTTTCATTTTTATTTTGTTAGTACTTGCTAAAATAAGACTGATTTTGGTAAATGACGTACCTTTTAAGAAAATAGAGGGCGGGTGGGCGGGCTTTGTACTTGCTACCTTGAGACTAATTTCGGCAAATGACATACCCCCTAAGAAAATAGAGGGCGGGTGGGCGGGGCTACTACTTGTTAAGTTAAGACTCAACAATATTAAGAGTTTTTCCTGGAATAAAGAGAGGGTGGGTGGGCGGGGCTACTGCTTTCTTATAACTCTTTAGGAAAAAAGCAAACTCAGTTCCACCCACCTTTTTTTTTCTCTATTTCATTGTCTTATTTTTTTATTGTAAAAAGACAGTCTAAAATACAAAACAATGTAAAAGTGGTAAAAACTATTTCGTTTTGACCATTCATTCTTATTGACTCTGAAGAACGGAAGTTAAATTTCATATTGATAAATAATAGAATCTAGGATTAGATTCTTTTTGTAATAAAATTTAATTTTTGCAATATTTTTTTTTGGAAAAAAATTTTCAATTTTTAGATTTTTCAATTTTTGATTGCAATTTTTCCAGTTTTCATTTTAAATAGCTCCGACGCGAGGTTCAGGTGCATCACTGCACTCGGCTCTCTGATGATTATGAAACAAAATTTCAAAGTAAATAAATAAAAACCTGTTTTAAAATTATTTAACCACAGTAATACCCACCATGTCTGCCTTCCCTTTCCTCTAAAAAACATCCCTGCAATAACACCCCAAAACGGATGTTTTTTTTTTAATTTCATGTCGCTTGCCAACAATTATGTCCATTTTTCGCAAAAATAGTTGCACATTTCGGGTAGATTTAGGAATTTAACTCGGTACTACGGAAATTTGCAATTTAACACCTTTAAACTTAAAGTTTTTACAAGATTAATAGGGACAAAATCATTTTTATCTTAACAAGTACTAGGACCGCCCACCCCCTATTTTCTCAGAGGATGTCATTTGCCGAAATAAGTCTTATCTTAGCAAGTACTAACCCGGTCGACCCAGCCTTTACTTTCTTAGAGGGTATGTCATTTGCCAAAATCAGTCTTATCTCACCAAGTATTAGCCCCACCCACCCACCTCTCTTTTCTTAGAAGATATGTCATTTGCCAAAATCAGTCTTATCTTATCAAGTACTAGCCCCACCCACCCGCCCCCTATTTTCTCAGACGATATGTCATTCGCCAAAATAAGACTTATCTTAGCAAGTACTAACAAGTACTTACTCTCTGAGAAAATAAAGGGCGGGTGAGCGGGGCTAGTACTTGGTAATATAAGACTGATTTTGGCAAATGATATATCCCCTCGGAAAATAGGGGGCGGGTGGGCGGGCCTAGTATTTGTTAAGATAAAACTGATTTTGCCCCTATTAATCTTCTAAAATCTTGTGAAATTTAAAGGTGCCCTTTATTTTCGCAGAAGGTAGTACTTGCTAGTACTTGCTAAGATAAGTTTTATTTTGACAAATGACATCCTCTGAGAAAATAGAGGGCGGGTGGGCGGCACTAGTACTTCCTGAGATAAGACTGATTTTGGCAAATGCCATGCCCTCTGAGAAAACAAAGAGGGGGTAAAGAAGGTTATATTGCAATTATTCTATTCAGTTTTTAATTTTTTCTAAAAATTCTAGACGTCCAAGGAGATAAAGCACAAGAGTATCTTGAATTAAAAATTTTTTTATTATAAATTTTGGAGATGACGTCAGCAAATTGTTGGTGGGGATAATTAGCCAAATTTTGGTGAATATTTAACCATCTACATGATGTTTCTAACATATGTGCAAAGTTTAACAATCGGTCCAGTAGTTTCGGAGATTACGTGTCTAGTAAAAATGGATACAGACAGACAGACAGACGGAAACGGAAGACCACATTTTTCGTACTCTAGAGGTCATAACACGTCGAGAAAATTTAAATTATCTTCTTGTAAATGCACAAAATTATTATATTATGGAAGAATTTTGATGGAGAAATTTTCCCTTCTTGGCAATTATGTAAATAATATTTTTGGTAATTATGACGCTGTTAGGATAAAAAATACGGTTTTTCTATAATGCAGAAACCACAACATTTGAAAGGTTTCTGAACTGTTCGGATTGTGTAAATCGTATTTCAAAGGTTTTTGAACTTTCACACGCAGTACTTGTCCTTCGAGGTAGCCTTTAAATTTGCTTATCGTTCAACTACTTGACTCATTAGTCATTACTTCGGACCTACCTCTCCTTATAAAGCAACAAATTGTTTTTTTCTGCCGGTCGATAATCATGTGCAACCGTCTGATATATTTATTTCTTTTCGGCAACCTTTTGGGGGTTAATACGGGTATTCTATTTCCAACTGATAATTTTAACTTTACAAATATATTCAAAACAAGCCAGTTGTGTCAAAATCAGTTTAAAGTAACTGATGCGAAAACTCTTTTCCAAAGTAAGTCTTAGACAATTCTGGTATAGGTTTGATGTGATGGTTATTTCAGTGTTTGATGCATCCGCAAAATCTGTTGACGGTTTGTTGTATCTGAATATGTTTCATCTTGGGAATTTCGATGAGTGTTACGACATTGCTAAGGCAACTACTGCCGGTCTGGTTTACGGAAAATACTGTCTTGGTACTATGACCTTGCAATCAAAACCATCACTAAACACTGTAGTGCAGCTACATTTTTACCTGAAGTAATTTATTTAACATTCTGTTGTAGGAAAACGAGAAAAGCTCAAATCTGAAGAAATTACATATAGGTGTTTGTGTTCCCAATGGTTGTACAACTCAAGATATAGAGTTACTTACTGGTAAATTACTGATTCATTTCTCAGATGACTTCTGTTATTCCCAAGACACAACGCCGAAATTAGATTCAGGAGCTATAATAACTTTGTGAGTTAAATGAATTTCAGTTTCTTTTAGCATCCAAAAATTCAGAATCACTTTAGGTGTTTTCGTTGGAATTGTTATTGTGTCGTCAGTTTGTGAGTTGATACAAATCAGGAAAGGAAAATTTACTCAAGGATATATTTTTGCATTTTCTGCAGTATCTAATGGATCAAAGCTTCTAAGTTCAACGTCAAATCCAGATCAACTTGTTTGTTTAAACGGCATTAAAGCAATCAGTATGATGTGGGTCATTTTAGGGCATGTTTATCTTAGTTCTGCCCAGGGACCGATGGGAGATGTTGTGGATATAAGAAAAGTAAAAATTAAACAGTACAATTTAGATAAAGAAGATACAGTATGTATTTTTTCAGTGGCAAGAAAATATTTATAATATGATTATTGTGGATGGTACTGTGTCTGTAGACAGCTTTCTTACGATAACCGGACTTATAACTGTTTATACTTTTCTAAAAATTGCTAGCAATCAAATCAAATTTAATTTTCTTCTTTACTACCTTCACAGATACATTCGGTAGGTTTCCAATTATATTTTTATTTCAGATATTAATTAATCTTTTTGAAATTTAGCTTAACGCCGTCGTTAGCTATAATGGTGCTAATCCATACCACTTTACTTCCATATTTAGGCAACGGCCCCTTATGGAACACAATAAATGACGGTTTTATCAGAAGCTGCAAAACTTATTGGTGGTCGGCTTTACTTTATGTCCAAAACTATTTTCACGATGAAGATACAGTGAGTATCAAATTTATGAATTACATATTTGATAAAACGACATTTCAGTGTGTACCGCAATCATGGTATTTATCTGTAGATTTCCAACTCTATCTACTATCACCAATAATTTTATTATCATTACACCGATGGCCAAAATTTTGTCTAACGATTTTAACATTCTTAGTAGCCTTGAGTTGTGCTATTCCTTTCGGCATAGGCTACGTGTATGGAATACCAGCGTTTATAACAGATGTCGAGTATGTAATATGTAATAGATTCCATAAAAATCAAAAGGGCTTTTGTAGAATTAAACCACACGAAATGATGTGGCTATACTACAAGCAAACTTATGCAAGATTTGGACCTTACGTAGTCGGAATGATCGCGGGATATTTTATTTATAGAAGAAAGAATAGTCGAATTGTACTGGTTTTGCATCCCGTATGAACAAATTTGGTAAAAATTTTGGAAATAAAATTTCATCTATTTTATTTTAGGCTTGGATGATTAGTATATGGTTGATTTGTTTAGCAGGTTTACTGGGATGTCTTTATGCTCCTTATTACGCAAGCCTAAATTATAGCCGCTTATCTCATTCTTTACTACTTGCTTTTCTTAGAAATGGATGGGCTCTTTGTCTCTGTGGTGTAATATACATGTGCGTTGCTGGATATGGAGGTATGATATTTTTCAAAGGTAGTAAACAAAAACAAATTATATTGTTTTACTGCGTTAACTGAATGAATTATGTATTACCAAAATGTCACTTAAGTACATTTTACTGTGCTATGCAGAACTGTTTACCTAATTTTTATTTGCTTGACGTTTCACCGTTTTCATTTTTTTATCGAATATGTATAACCTTAGCAACTATTTGCGTGTTACTAACTTTACTGCCTTTATTTTTAATTTGATTTATTATTTATTATTTCGCATGATAAATGTTTTTTTGTTATCTTATATTCTATCTATATATTTCAATTTTGGGACTTCTAAATACTTAGACTTTTCAATTTTTCAATTTTTCGACTTTTCGTGTTTTTGATTCTTTACTTATTCGATTTTTCAGTTTTTTGATTTTTCAATTTGTTGATGTTTTCTAAATTTTCAATTTTTCGTTTTTTTTAAATTTTAGACTTTTCAATTTTTTGATGACTCAATTTCTTAATCTTTCGATTTTTGCCCTCTCGTTTTTCGATTTCTATATTTAATAATGATGAAATAAAACTTGTCATAATAACGTCGACTCACCCAAAATAATATTCAAAACGTTTTGCTGCATTGTAGTTTAATTAATAATTTTAATGTATTCCTTTGTTTTGAGGAGAGAATTTGCTGCGTGCTTAATTGTCGCATTCTTTCGATGTATAAACATAAACAACTGAAGTTAAGCATGTACTGATAATATATTTTTACTTCAGAGACCAGGGAAGATCAGTCTAAATAACTTTAGACCAAGTTTTTGCCTTTAAAAGAGAAAGTCTTACAGGCGCCTAGTGTTTTTTTAATATAAAAAAAATCTTGGGACCTTTTGTGTTTTGTTTTTAAAATATTAAAAAAAAAATTTCGGGAATCCGTGGACTTCTTCATTTGGAAAGAATTTTGTAGAATCTCAGGGGCTATTAGCGTCTTTTTTTTTAATATGTAATGTTTCGTTTCGTTTCGTTTTTGAAAGAGAAAACACAATATTGTCAAAACCGAAGAATGAATAATAATAATACTTTATTATACGCCAATTAAGCAATACAGTAATAACAAACAGCACAAATAATCTAATTAAAAATCAAGAATTTTAAAAGTCTAAAAAATCCAAAAATCTAGAAATTAAAATAACGAATAGTTGAAAATGTTGAAAAATGCAAGATTTAAACAGTCGCAAAATTTTTAAAAATCGAGTGAATAAAAAATCAAATAACAGAAAGTCCAAAAATCTAAAAATTTAAAAATCGAAATTTTGAAAAATCTCAAAATTGAAAAATCCCAAAACTTAAACAGAGAAAAATCGGAAAATTAAAAATCGTTTAATCGAGAAGTTGAAAGATCAAAAAATTGAGATATTGGAAATAGCTAATTGACAAAAAAATGATAAAATTCATAATTGAAAAATTTAGACTTAAAAAACTCGATAAATCGAAAAATTGAAAAATCGAAATAGCGAAAAACTAAAAGATTAATTCCGACAAATTGGAAAATCGAAAAATCTAAAAATAAAAAGACAAAAAATCGAAAGACTCAAAAATCGAAACAACAAAAAGTAAAAAATCTAAAATTTAAAAATTCGAAAAATGGAAAATTTACAAAATCGAGAAATCAAAACATCAACGAATCGAAAAATCAAAAAATTGAAAAATCGAGAAATGTAAGATTTAAAAAATCGCAAAATTTTGAAAAACTAAAAAGTAAAAAATTAATCGAAATACAACTTGAAAAATGCTAAAATTGAAAAATCTCAATACTTAAACATTGCAAATTTGAAAATCGAAAAATTGAGATATCGAGAAATCGGAAAGACGAAAAATCGGAAAATCAAAAAATTAAAAATCCATTAATAGAGAAATTGAGAAATCGAAAAATTCAAATATTTAGAAACCCCAAAACTGAAAAATTGAAAAATCGAAAAATTTAAATACATAAATTCCAAAATTGATACGTCCAGAAATTGGAAACTCGAATAAACGAAAAGACAAATAATCGAAAAACTGAGAAATTTAGAAATCGAAATGGAAAATTGAAAAAACGCGAAATCGAAACAGCAAAAGATCCATTAGTTCAGAAGTCGAAAAATCGAAAATGGGGATATCCAAAGATTAATTTCGAAAAATTGAAAATCGAAAATTAAAAAATGAGAAGGCAACAAATCGAAAGACTAAAATTTAAAAAAATCGAAAAATTGAAAATTTACAAAATCGAGAAATCAAAACATAATCAATCGAAAAATTAAAAAATTGAAAAATCGAAAAATGTAAGATTTAAAAATAGCAAAGTTTTGAAAAATCTAATAAGTAATTAAAAAATCAATCGAAATACATATTGAAAAATGTCAAAATCGAATAATTCCAAAATTTAAACATTGAAAATTTGGAAATCGAAAAATTGAGATATCGAGAAATCGGAAAGACGAAAAATCGAAAAGTCAAAAAATTGAAAAATTCATAAATCGAAAAATTAAGGAATCGAAAAATCGGAAAATTAAAAAATCGATTAACCGAGAAATTGATAAATCGAAAAACCCAAAAATTAAGAAACGCCAAAAATTGAAAAATCGAAAAATCGAAAAACTGAGAAATCGAGAAATCAAAATCGAAAAATTGAAAAAAAATCCAGAAGTCGAATAATCAAAAAAATTCAAAATTGAAAAATTTAAACTTAAAAAGCCCGGTAAGTCGAAAAATTGCAAATCGAAATATCGAAAAACTGACAAATTAATTCCGAAAAATTGAAAAATCGAACAATCTAAAAACGAGAAAAAAAAATCGCACGACTGAAAAATCGAAACAACAAAAATGTAAAAAACCTAAAATTTAAACATTGGAAAAATTGAAAATTTACAAAATTGAGAAATCAAAACAATAATGAATCGAAAAATAAAATAAATTGAAAAATCGAAAAACGTAAGGTTTCAAAAATCTCAAATTTTTGGAAAATCGAATAAGTAAAAAATCAGCAAAAACAGAAGTCGAAAAATCCAAAAAATTTAAAACTCGAAATACATCATATTGGAAAATTCCAAAATTGAAAAATCCCAAAATTTAAAAACGTGAATCCCAAAACTGAATCGTTGAGAAATTTTTTCAAGTTTTCTATTTTTCAATTTCGATTTTTTTTAAGGGTTTAGATTTTTCGACTCAACTTTTTTGATTTTTCGCTTTCTCAATTTTTTAATTTCTCAGTTTTTGGGCATTTCTGTTTTCGGATTTTTTAATTTTTTCCATTCTTTAGTTCTTCTTTCATTTTTCAGTTTTGGGATTTTTCAATATTTCGATTTCTGACTTCTGGATTTTTCGATCTGTCGATTTTTTTACGTTTTAGATTTTTAAATTTTTCGATTTTTAAATTTTGTTTTTCAATTTTTTCATGTTTTAATTTTTCAATTTTTAAATTTTTAGATTTTCCCGATTTTTCATTTCAGTTCTTCCATATTTCAATTTTTTAAGTTTTCGAATTTTTCAATGTTTCAATTTTTATTATTCCGATTTTTCGACTTCCCGATTTTAAATTTCTTGTTTTTCAATTTTTTGTTTTCTGAAATTTTCGTTTTTTAATTTTTCATTTTTAAATTTTTTCGATTTTTCAATGTTTTAATTTCCCGACTTATCGAGATTTGGATGTTTTGGTATTTTGATTGTCCAGTTTCGCGATTTATGAGTTTTTTAGTTTAAACTTTTCGATTTCTCGATCTTTTGATTTGTCGGTTTTTCGATTCTTTACTTTTCGGATTTTCGGTGTTTCGATTTTCAATTATCCGATTTTTCAATTTTTCGATTTTTTAAATTTAGGGGTTTTCATTTCTCGATTTTTCGTTTTTTAAATTTTTGATTTTTGAATTTTTCATATTTTCAATTTTTCGGTTTTACGATTTTTTTATGTTTCGATTTTTCAAATTTTCGATTATTTTGTTTTTTTATTTTTTTCTCAGTGTTAAAAATTAAGAAATCGCAAAATTCAAAAATTTAGAAACCCCAAAAATTGAAACAATGAAAATTCGAAAAATGTAAATACATAAATTCCAAAACTGATACGTCGAGAAATTGAAAACTCGAATAAACGAAAAGACGAATAATCGAAAAACTGGGAAATCGAGAAATCGAAATGGAAAAATTGAAAAAATGCGAAATTGAACATCAAAAGATCCAGAAGTCGAAAAATTGAAAAATTGAGATATCGAAATAACAAAAGACCGAAAAATGGACAAATTCAAAATTGAAAACTTTATACCTAAAAATAATAAATAAAAAATTTTCGATAACTTGAAAAATTGAAAAATCGAAAAATCTGACAATGAGAAGGCAAAAAATCGAAAGACTGAGAAATCGAAACGACAAGAAAGTAAAAAACCTAAAATTTAAAAATTGGAAAAATTGAAAATTTACAAAATGGAGAAATCAAAACATTAACGAATCGAAAAATAATAAAAATTGAAAAATCGAAAAATGTAAGGTTTAAAAAATCGCAAATTTTTGAAAAATGGTATAAGTGAAAATTTAAAAAAAAAAACAGAAAGTCGAAAAATCCCAAAACTAAAACACTGAAATTTGGAAAAACGAAAAACTGAGAAATCCAGAATTCAGAAAGTCGAAAAATTAAAAAAACCATTAATCGAGAAATTGAGAAATCGAAAAATCTAAAAATTTAGAATCGCCAAAAATTGAAAAATCGAAAAATCGACAAATTTAAATACATGCATCCCAAAACTGCATCGTTGAGAAATTGGAAAATCGAAAAATCGTAAACATGAATTTTTGATTTTTCAATTTTTCGATTTTTTTAAAGGTTTCAATTTTTCGCTCCGCTTTTTTTTTCTTTTTTCAGGTTTACCATTCTTCAGTTCTTTTTTCATTTTTCAGTTTTGGGATTTTTCGATATTTCGATAAGTCGACTTTTCGATTTTTGACTTCTGGATTTTTCGATGTGTCGAATTTTTTACTTTTTAGATTTTTCAATACTATATCGATTTTTAAGTTTTAGATTTTTCAAATTTTTGATATTTTAATTTTTCAGTTTTCAAATTTTAGATTTCTCGATTTACCGATTTTTCATTTCAGTTCTTCCATATTTCAATTTTTCAAGTTTTCGAATTTTTCAAATGTTTCGATTCTTAATCTTTCGTTTTTCGGCTTTCCGGTTTTAGATTTTCTGGTTTTAATTTTTTTGTTTTTTAAAATTGTCGTTTTTAATTTTTCATTTTTCAAATTTTTTTATTTTTCAATGTTTTGATTTCCCGACTTACCGAGATTTGGATGTTTCGGTATTTTGATTGTTCAGTTTGTCGATTTATGAATATTTTCAGTTTAAACTTTTCGATTTATCGATCTTTTGATTTGTCGCTTTTTCGATTTTTTACTTTTCGGATTTTCGGTTTTTCAGTTTCCCAGTTTTTCTGTGTCTCGATTTTCAATTATCCGATTTTTCATTTTTCGGTTTTTAAATTTTAGATTTTTGAATTTTTCATATCTTCGATTTTTTGGTTTTACGACTTTTCTATGTTTCGATTTCTTGACACCTTGGTTTTTCGTTTTTTAGATTTCTCGATTTTTCAGGTTTTCGATTTTTCAAATTTTCGATTATTTTAATTTTTTATTTTTTTCTCAATGTTAATATCATACAATATGTGGAAAATAACCACAAAAATTGTCACTAAAAACATTTAAAAATTCATAAAAAGTAGAACACAATGTTTCCAAAACATAAAAGTAACTACATTTTCCCGAAAAAATCTATTGGATTATTACGATAATGTACTCCTGTACTCGTGGTTTATGAATCCGGCCTGATTTTTATCACATTTAAGGTATTTTAGAAAAAAAGTTCCTTTATGGCCTTTATTTATTAATTTCATATTGCATATAACTGTATCTACATTTTTGTGATTTTATATAAGAAGTTATTAATGAACAAAGAAAAATTAAATGTTATTACAGGTATAATTAACCAATTTTTGTCGTTGCCAATTTTCCAAATCCTGACGAAACTATCCTACGCTATGTACTTGGTGCATTATTTGGTTATCAGCTTACGATACGCCTCCATGAAAAAAAATTTCCTGCTCTCCAATAAATTCATGGTAAGTGGTACATAACTCACTTTTACTAACACATTTAGCATTTACTTTTATCACAGCTGTGGAGTTTTTGGGGTGCCTTCGTGGTAACACTTGTCCTATCTTTATTACTAACTTTAACATTCGAATCGCCCATGATCGCCTTGGAAAAATCCCTCCTCGGTAAAACAGTCATCCACTTTACAAATATAATTTGAAAATCTTTTGTTACAGGCTCCCGATTTTCTCCATTTTCCAGCAAAAAACCTCAAGTGTAAGAGAAATATTCGAGAATAAATATTCCTCACGATCGTGTTAACGCCGTTATTTTTGATGTTTGTTTTCGTGTGTTGTTTCCACGATACGGTTAGCCTTAAAGATGTGTAGACGAGACATTGTCGCTGAAAATTGTTTATCGCTCCAACAGCGAAGGTTTTATTATCGAAAAGAGGAATCGAATTGTGTCCATCCGTTTCGAATCGCCCAAATATCATCATATTTGCAGCGGAGACGCGTAAATTCGGATGTGATAAAAGAGAACATTTCCAAAATAGCGTCTGGGGTTCGCGAAAAGGTCGACACACTCAGATGAAATTGATTTTATGAGAGGGTATTGATTTGTGAACAAAGATATATGGTGGCTAAAGTCTGAAATGTTTTCCAATATTTTGAAAATATTATTTCAAATATAAATTTAGATTTGTTTAACTAATGGTACAAATTCATACTCTTCATTGGACTTTGACCGATTTCCTACATTCTGTTAACGTAACGCATAGCAACAGCCATGTAACTATTGAGATTAGCAATGTTAAAAGTGAACCTATTCCTTCGCATTCACTTGGTAATTATGCTTTGAGACTATAAAAAAAAATTATTTAATTAATTATGTGGGTTTAAAATGTCATGAAAAATTTTGCTGTGTTTTTTTTTTTAGTTCTGTGTCCAATTGTATATTTCGAGCTCTCATTATCTCCCTTTTTTTATGTAAGTCAAATCAATTCGATTTAGCAAGTCGTATACAAGCAAATTTACGAAGCACGATTAGAAAGAATTTCAAGTATCGCGCACCGGTACAATTTTACGATCTTACGTGCTGCGTTTCGGTTAAATTAATATTATAACTCTCAAATGCCGTGCATTTTTCCGTAAAGTACATATTGGTTCGCTGTCGTTTTAAAATTAAATCCTCCGAGACATGCTGCGGTTACAGTTCTTAAATTTTTGATTAGTTCAAGCCACAGCCATGCGAAGAGTCTTTGGATCATTTCCAAGCTATAACGTCCCATATTAAGTTTTTAAGGAAAATGAACGCCAAAAGGACGAAACGTGTAATCCTCTGGACACTTTCCTGATATCTTGGACAATATGTTCTGACAGCTGCAGAAAATATTTATGTTGTTTCTTGGCTCGGAGTCAAGACGGGTATGATATGATTGTAGACTCGTGCAGTACATTTCGGTACACATTTCTAGTGTTATTATCACCGCGCGGAATTGTATCTCATACGCTAGAACCAGTGCTGTCGCGGCGATAGTTTGATTACAAATATATTTTTCTTTTGGACTATTTCAACATAATATAACATTTCAAGATTACAAATCTGTGGTCCTGTGGTTGAAAAATTAAAAAGGGCATCAAGTATTATTATTTGAAGTAATATAGTAATATAGAAGTAGTTTTTTACTAGCTGTAAACACTCCTAGCGACGCACTGGCTACGACCTTGTGGACCAGATCAAGGCGTCCCCGCTACTCGCCGTAAAACACACCTTACTTCAACTGGAGGATTGCAGCGGTGAAACAAATTCCCGCGTACTGGTTATTATATACCTATGTTACAGCTAATATCCGAAATACGTTATTATGCATAATAACTAGATATTTTAGGAATTATGCGTAATAACTAAACTTGTCAGTTATTATGCATAATAACCGGAAACATTAGGAATGATGCGTAATAACTGAATTTTTCAGTTATTATGCACAGTAACGGAAACGTTTAGGTAATATTGATAATAACTAACAGAGGAACAGGAATTATGCATAATACCTGAAACATTAGTCATTAAGCATATTGCCTAATAGGCCAGGGCCGATAAATTTTGAGAACAAAAAAATTAAAACAGGATGATACCCATTGAAAAAGGAAGAAAATATAACAAAAATAAAAGGAAAAATAATTTACAGGCGATTTGAGGTCGGAAAGTGGAAGAGGATGAGCTTTTAAGGGTAGAAAACGGTTTATCATGAAGTTATAAGTAATAAAAGGATCTACAACTTTTGTATTTAGACTTTTTTTACATAACCTCAAAATTTATGCGAAAAATGCAAATAACCGAGTTTTTGGTTTTTTATTTTTATCTCCCACAAAAAAGTTTTTTTTTCACGAAATTTGGTGAAAACTTACCTATTTATGTCCCAAACTCACTGTAATTTTTTTGATTCAAAATATTTATTTTTCCCCCTTATTTTGATTTAATATCAAAAAACCACCCTAATTTTCAATTGAAAATTCTCACGTCAAAATGTTTGCTTTTTTAAAAAAATCGGTGTGCTTTTTGTTCGTTGAAATCTCTACTTTCTGATGGTGTAAAAAAAGTTAAATTACTATATTTTCACAGGAAATCCAAAAAAACGAAAAACTCGAATTCGAATTTTTTTTTAATTATATAAAATTTTGAGCTATTTATTAAAATTTATAATTTAATTACTCGAAAAAAGTAAGATTCCATGTTACACTGATAAACTCAAAAATTTAAAATCCAGTTGGTAGGAGATTTGTCAATATGAATGATGATTTAATTTTTGCCAATTGATTTTCGAAATCTTAATTGATTCAGTGGTATATTGTCATTTTTACATTTATAAATATACTAGCTGACCCCGTGAACTTCGTTTCACCTCCAATTTAATTTTGAATCTGCAAAATCGAATGCTTTGAAATCTTGCAGATGTTTTAAACATATGATAAGCATAATAAATTTTTATTCAAAATATATTTACTTATCCCCTCCAAAAAATTGATGACGTCAGCCCAAAATTTTGCCAAATGAATCCTGTCTAAAATGTCCAAAATAGGATGAGACTATACTTGTGATTTATCATTCCATTCATATTTTTTAATTTTGCTTATAGGGGGTGTCTCAAAAAAATTAATCACTGAGTCAATTTATTTTATTGGTTGAATCAAGAACTGCAAAACTGAATTTTGAAATTTTGTAGACATTCTGAAGTTACTGTTTGACATGGTAGGTTTTCAATCAAAATATATCTGTTGATCAAGCCCAAAAACTTGAAGACGTCATTTCAAGATTTTGCCGAATAAATCCTATCTAAAATGTGGAAAACATCATCAGTATATTTTCGTAATTTATCATTGCATTCATATTTTTTGATCTGCTTTTACAATGACTCAAAAAAATATATGGATCAGTCAATTTATTTTAGTGAATAACTCAAGAGTTGCAAAAATGAATACTTTGAGATCTTGCAGACGTTTTAAAGTTATTGTAAGCATGATAAATTGTTAAGAATATTTATTTATTCCCCCCAAAAATTGATGGAATGGCTCACTCGAATTTCGCAGATAATTTTGGGAATACAATACAGTTATTTTTTGTATTACACTGCACTAATCCAAGGTGGTATACGTGTTGATAGTAAATGTTGATTAGGTCATCGCAAAATTGTGTGAAGAACAGACTCAACTCGAAAATGCTGAATAGGTTTTATTATACTTTTGGTGCGAAGGAAGTTCTGTCGAAACAACGTTCGATCAATTTTTTGACAATGGTTGATATAAATAAAACTCAGTAGATGCTCATACTCGAAATACAAAGTATCTACTCGAATATCAAATCAAAATATTTCTAGTTTTTCTAGATGATACTAATACTTCAGTAAGTAACAGTTGATGCTGAAGTAGCATCTCGATACAACAAAAAAGGACAACAGTGACAGTGTTCAACCATCAAGCCAAAAATCGAGTTACCAAAATATAAGTTAGCATGGGGTAGACACCTTGAGATGGGAATCTCTATGGCCAGTGTTAGAAAGAACGCACTGCACAATTTATGCATAAATAAAAGTTAATTACATGAAAAGTTTTCGATATTCCTGCTCCTAATGTGTTTTTCAAACTGAATGCACCTTTTGACGACGTTCCACGTTCATGAAAGTCACCATGTTTAGTTAAAATTCACTCTTCCAACGATCCTACTGGTTTTCTAAGCTGCTTTACAGACAGCTCAGTTATTTGCCACGCCGATGCTCATTTCTAGATTAAATGCTCACAAAACGCGTAGATGTTAAGTTTGTGTCCGGGGAGATACAATGTTTCCAAGTAGGTACTCAGTACATAGAGTAGATGCTCAGGTATATAAGAGTAATAATGAAGTAGGTACTTCGTACTTCGAATATGAGTATCTAGTCAGTTTTATTCATACCACCCCATGTCTCGCTTCAATGTTTGATTATGTTGATTATGAGCACAACGCTGATCAACTTCCGTATCCGAATTACCCATTAAATAAATCATTGCGGTTTGCACCTGAGGTAGTTCGTCGCACATTTGATTGACTTCGTGGACCTATGTAGGCTTGTCGTCTTCTAGGCATTTTAATGAACTTCAAAAAACGACGCAGAATTATGTTCACAGTCAATCAAATCTGTAAATTTTGTCTTGAGAATTTTAAAATATTGAAAACTTCAAATTAAATCCTCGAATAACGGTAAAGTTTGAGGTTTTGTCGAAACCAACAAAGTGAATATAGGTAAAAAGAATGGCAGATCAAAATGAATAAGAAACTTTCGCAATGTAAAATAAACGACGTTTTTTTTTTACGAAAAAACAAAGAACGATTTGAAATGCAATATACTTTTCACAATCGCACTGAAGAATTAGTTTTGTATGACACGTCAGTTAGACGACAGGTCCGTTAGAAACGCCAACTAATGAAATTAATTTTAAGTGGCGATTCCCATACAAAATTTTTAGATTTTTTTTATTTTTTAACTGTTCTTTTAAGTTATCCTTATTTTTTTTATTTATAAACCATCCCCGTAATATAAAAAAATGTTCAAATCGGTCAAGCCGTTTTTGAGTCTTAGCGAGACTAACAGGAACAGCAATTGATTTCTATTATATAGAAGATTAAAAAATGGGGGTTTGTGGTAGTAAGGTGAAAATTTAGGGTTACACATATTTTTTGAAGCCAAATCTTAAAAAAATAAAAATAAAAAATTTTGTCCAAAAATTAGACAAACATTTTTTAGGGTGGGCCACCCTTATCACTTAGGGGTTTAAAAAATAGT